TGTGTGTGTGTGTGTGTGTGTGTGTGTGTGTGTGTGTGTGTGTGTGTTGACAAAGTGGAGTTGGACAGTTTGTTTTTATTTGAACTGTTGGGCGAGGTGTAGGCCTCACCTGTCCACCAATCAGAGCGTGGGCTGGTCTCAGGAGTGGTTCAGTCAGGCTCTAGGAAAAACTGGAACTAAATATGCATAATATGGGTATTTGGGTTTTTAATTCCCTAAAATGCTTCATTTTTATAGACAATAACCACAGCTCACGGTGTGCATGGCTGTATACCATCATGTCATCAGCTGTTAGCTCAGCTCCCTTCAAGTTCCAGCAGCTGAAGTTAAATTGTTTTTGTGAATTTGGAATTTGAAAATAGTGACGATCTGATAACGAAAACCAAGAATTGGTGAAATAAAAAAAAAGACCAGAATTGCCAACAGCCTTTTAGATTTTCTGCTCTGAACTTAATCAATTGACTGACATTTGGATAAAAGAAGTAGCTGACCAGAGATCAGTCTGTTAAGTTAGCACCAGGTAGCAAATCAAATAAATCAAATAAAATAAATAAATAAAACTCTAAAATATTTAAACTTCTCACGGTCTACCGTTAACGGTGTTCTCTGACGGCCTTACCTAAGTTTACCGTCCTGCTCTCGTCCACTAAAACGATGTCCGTCTTTTACCGTTGTATGTGAATGCGGCGTTAGCGGCTGGTTCCAAACCCTCTTGGCCTGCAGGGCCCTTAATACCTTCCTTCAGAGATAACGTGTTGCATTTATGTGCGTTTTTAACAGAAAATGATCTCTGATGATCAGCAGACATGAAGCGTGACGGCGGTCTGAGCTCAGCGTTCTCCGTGCTGTTAGTAAAGTCACAGTTATGACTTGTGTCCTAGATTCTTTAATGATTCTTATTCTTCCTCTTCTCTCTCCGGCCTCAGGTGTCTGCGTTTCTCATTAAAACCATAAAAAGTAAATCACAGACCACAGCAGAGCATTTTAAATGGCTTCATTAATACTGGGATTTGGAGTCACACTGTGTCTGAGCCCTGGCTTGTTTAGAGCTGAGACCTGACAGCTGTGGAGCCACAAGACATTTAAACAGCTTGCAGATTTGTCGTTTTGTGCACTGCAGACGCCCCCCCCCCCCCCAGACACACACACACACACTCATTGTTGGACAACAGTGCGTGCATACAGCTGAGTTGGTGCTCTGTCTGCAGCTTTTGTACGTTCAGGAGCTTCTTCAGGTCAACTAGACGAGCGGCCGATCACAGTCTGAGGAATCTGTGAGTAAAAAAAAACAAAAACCCACAGATGGGTGAATCACGGGACCTTCACCCAGGAGACCGGCGTTCATGTTCCGTCTGAAACCAAAGGTCAAGTTGACTTATTAAAATTGCGTTGTCTACGTAAGAATTCACGTTACAACCATATTTCTTTTAACCCGAAACGATCTTTTCTTTCCTTAACCTGACCAAAGTAGTTCTGTTGCTTCAACCTTCACGTTAAATTGTTTCCGTGGTAAATTGTAACTTTACACGCTCTCATTGTCTCATTGGGAGGCGTATAAACAGCACAACGTCGCTTTAACGCCTCACTGATTA